GATCTTTGGTCAAATCTTGGCACATCTGCAATGCAGATCTGCTTCAAATCTGCAGAATCCCTTTGCAGAATCTGCAAAGTTACTGCAAAGATTTTTCCAGATTTATGTTGCAGAAAAATCACCTGGGCATGGTCTAAAATTTGTAAAAATATTGAAATTTGTGAATTCAGTCTTTGTGACTTTACCCTTGTGAAACTTCTTCCAACGGATGATACAGAATTCTCAATTCTCTCATTTTAAGTTTTCTTGCCATAATATAAAAGGAATAGACTTTCGATACAAGAATTCTTTAAATATTTTTATTAGACGCTCCCCTAGTGAATGTACTTGGGTTAAGTAATGAGAACAGTATCTGTGAACTTTTCCAAGTAAAATGTAAGTACTTGGTTGACACAATGTAAGTAAATTTACTTAGAAATCTTCAATCAAATACTTATTCTATTTTATCCTCATTTTGTATTTTGTACATTACATATTCTCCAGTCATACTCTACTTTTGTAGAATAAAACATGCACGGCTACTACGTTTGTTCAACTCAATAGAAATATATAAGTTTATTTTATAAGTGTATAACGATTGATATTGTGGTGTTTATATACAAGCGGTCAATGCAAAAGAAAACGGTGATTAGCTTGTCGAAGTACTTGGCTGAAGCAAGTCAAGTAACGATACTTAGTAAGTTCTTCCTCAAGTACTTGTCAAGTGCTTAATTTATCACGTGCCATCCAAGTACGCATCAAGTAATCAAGTATTTGTATTAAATACATTCACTAGAGTCTCGAATCGTATTTGGAATTTTTTATCAATGGTAACGGAATAGCCTGTAATGTCGGACAGAAAGCGAAAAGTTTGGGTTAGCATCAGTGATCATAATGTATTGTTGTATAATTGGTAGAAGGGTTCTTGTATCACGACGCTCGACGGTTACTGCAAAACATTCTTTTGTGTCCTTATCAATGCCTCCGAATACCCCCTGATTCTTCACTACCGGACTGCGACTGTATTTTTGTTTCGTCAACGAACTTTAGTCGATTTATACCACATGTCCAACCGCGCCAATCAACCTCCAGATGTCTTAAAAAGTATTCAGCATAGAAGCTATTATTAAGATGTGACAAGATTTTGAAAATTTTTCGAAAAATCACTAAGAGTTATATACCGGGTGCGTAAGCAAAACAAAACGGTGAATAGGATTTCTATGGGAGACGCGCCGCGACGCTGTATCATGTCGCGATTGTAAGAGAAAAATGCGATCGCCATGTGACAATTTTTTCTTACAGTGATCGCGCTCGGATCGCGAAGTCGCACCGTGATTCGCATTGCTTAGCAATGTTTCCGTTGCAGTAGCTTTCCTCAAACCTAAAAGTGCTGAAACTTCGCCGTGTTACTTTTCTACATGTTATTTATCTATGGTATTAGCAGAAATCTGCGACTTTTTTCGCTCAGCTCTCTAGAGATTTTCTAAAAACCCTTGGTTTTGCAAGAAAAATCTAGTTTCCACGGCCCATGAACAATTTTATCCAAAATCAAGCTGAAATTTGGAATCGGCACATTAAAGTGCATCGAATGGTATGTCATTCAAATATATTGGCTAAGAGAACTTTTCGATTATATACCTCGCATTATCCCGGAAGGCCTTAGATGTCTGTAAGCAGATTTTTTGTATTTTCTTATCGAGAACGGCATGACCACTCAGAAATTACATGATGTTACTAGGCAAAGGAAGGGTTTGGTTAAGGGCGTGATTTAAGGGTTTCTGAGTCTTTACATTGGTCATGAGTCATAGTTTCTTAATTCGGACAATAAAAGACTAGAACAGCTTATCGTCCGATGTTGTGATACTTTCTTCCTTCAATTTGTTTGTTTTAAAAATGTAATAGTTCCTCTAGGAACTAGTTATTTGTAATTTGTAATTTTTATCTTTGTAAATATTGGTGTGGCATGGGATAGGCGTCTACTCAGTCCAAAAAAAGGTTAGAAGTAGGAGTATGAAGGTGTACTCCGTTTCAGGAGCACTCCTTTTGAAAAAAGCCACTAAGAGCACTCTAGAGTACTCTTTTTTGGAGTAGTCTAGACTACTCCTCAATTATTAACGATGTTAGTCACTTCACTCGATATATTTCTTTACTGAGGTAAAATACTTTCAGAGAAAAGGAAAAGAAGAAAAGAACAGTTGTGAGTATACCAAATTCTACCTATAATATCATCAAAACAACTCTAGTCCTTAAAAAAAATATACATAACAAACATATGATCACTTTTAAAAAGAAAAAAAAGTAATGTTTAATTTTTATTTCCAACTTTTGCGAATTGGTACAAAACAAACAGGATTAAAATATTACATTATATTGAGTATGAATACACAGATCAAAACATACAATTTGCACATTATTATTCAATAATATTCAGTGTTGAATTGGATATTATATTATCTTGAAAGAAGATGGAATATAAATACAAAAAAGTAAATGCAAATATATTTAATAAAATACTAAAACAAACATGAAATAGGCTAAATTTTATAAAATAGAAAAGACTAAACTAGAGAAACAAAAGTAAAAGTAAAATTTCTTGCTGATATTTACTATTTCGACACAGGAAATAAACTACAGAACATTTGTAAAAAATAGTTCTCGAAGCGATGATGAACCAATTTTCAAAATATTGTTTATTAAGACAATATATTGTTAAATTTAATCGTGATAAAAATGATGATGCGCAATTAAAATATAATGACTAATTATTATTACAAATATAGTCGTACAATGATGTTTTCCATGTTAAGATTAGTAATGACGAATTATTTTGTTGTATTAATTCCTTTTGAATCTTTATATAATGATCTACTAAACCCAGATTAATATTGAAAAGGCAAATCACGCATAAAAGCAAAAACATGGTAGCAACACATATGATCGCCACATCTCGTATTTGAAAATCGTTACCCAGATCAAAGAATCGTACTATGATCGTATCTGAATCAGACAAAATCGTACCAAATCGTATGAAAATCATATATGAATCGTGGTATCTGATTTGTCCTCTGGACCGTATAATACAAGATCATATACGATCATACAACTTCGTATGAAATCGTACAGTACGGGCCAGACGACAAATCAGGTACCACGATTCGTATGTAGATCGTACATAATCGTATATGATTTCGTAAGATTCGTATACGATCTTGTACGGTCAGATAGTACGATTCAATCACCTGGGTAACTGTTTCTTTTGTTTCTTGTTGTTTACATTCTCCTACAGCTACTTTAGTGCACATACTTTGTCGATAAATTTTGTTCTAAGCGTTTTAAAATGAACAAAAATCAATAGCATCGGAGATGGGCGCAGTCAACAGTTTTTCGAGTCTGAGTCGAGTCCGCATTAGTAACCTTCGAGCCGAGGTCCGAGTCGCATCAAAAATTGACCTCAAGTCATTTTCTAGAGGAAAATTTCTTCTTGATTGATTTTTCCAAGAACGGATCTTCAATCCTCTCATCTGACGCGACGTTCTACTCAGAATATTCTCAAATCTCTCTCCCTCTCTTCTGGTATATAACAAATATAATAAACACCGTCATAACAATCCCAAGTTGCACATGACTGACCCGAAAGTGACTCGAGTCAGTTTAACTGGACCAAACATTATTAAGTATATTTTTCTTTCATAAAAAATTTAGAATGAGTTTCTGATCCCAGGACATCGAAAACGGTGTAATTAATTGCCAATTAAATGCCATTTAATACGCTGTTAATAAGCATTTAAATGGCATTTTTATGACATATGACTCCGTTTTTAGGCCGTTTTTTGCCATTATAACTGGGAACGTTTAAATGCATTTATTTCGCATTTTTTTAAATGTCAAAAAAGGGTCAAATAACAGGCATTTAGGCTGCCGGTAACCCTACTGGTCACATTTTTTTGCCATTTAAATATCAATTGTTAGACCGCTAGAAAATATCAAAAAAATATCTTCTGAACGTGAGATACTATCACCTGCATCGAGTCAAGAACCATAGACCACTTCTTCGAGGCAAGTTTCTATGACTCGTATAATTGAAGAAGAGAAACACTTTAAATTATTTTAGGAAAATCAGAGTCATTTATACCAGTCATGACGGCAGAATAAAACGGTGAATGACTTGGTGACCATAAACTGGCTGTTAAATGCCATTTTTTGACCAGTTTTTTGCCATTTTGAAATGGAGAAAAAACGGACATTTAACGGCCACATTTATTTGGCATTAGTTAACGTGGTCTAATAAATGGACGAAAATGCCATTTAATGGTGTCCGTAAAATGATAATTTTTCAGACATTGCCTATAATCTGGCATTATTTTCACCGTTATTTCAAAGTCAAAAAATTGTCATTGTAATGGCTGTTAAATGACAATTTTCATTCGATTTTTACACAATTAACAGGCTATTTTTTGGCATACAGTTAACAGGCTGTATGTTATTACCTCTCTGGCTATCGTTGCATCGTGTTTTACTCGGACTTTTCTTCGAGAACATAATGCGATCACTTTTTGAAGTTTACATCGATTAGATCCTACGATGTCTCCAGTATTCCACAATTTCTATCTAAAATGGTAAAAAACATTTTTACTGAAGATCTTATACGGATTCAAAGTGAGTACACAGCTTTTTTGTGTTCTTTTACATTCTTTTTACAAATATTTTCGTCTATTTAATGTAATGTTACTATAAATACTTACTTTTAAATCAGCAGTATTCTATCTTACTACACTAGAGTCCATAATTAGTGTCATCTATTCTTAAAGTATTCAATACGTGTTACTGTTTAACCAATAATTTCTTTTTCGTGTTCTATTTTATATATGTATGTCTATATATACACCCTCATCACTAGAGGTGTGCTCAATCAGTAGGAGTACCTTCAAATGATTAATGGATTAGATGACAGAAAAATAGATATAGACCCTGAAAAAAAATCAAGTGATTTTCAAGCAAAAAATTAAAGACTCCGTTTTATTTTGGAGTTTTCCGCTTTATATTTCCTCACTTTTGAGTCAGAAAATGAACTATTTTTTTTATGTTGGATAAATATGTACGAGCTATGTGAGTGAGAATCTGTTTTGTAGAATTTTTTTCGGTGCTAACAGTGAAAATGACCAGAGCCACAAAGATGTGTGCAGTTCTTGTATACCTGTTGTTGTTTTTCGTTCTACCACGGATGACACTTTTCTATCGATTTTACACTATTCTAATATTCAAGTCTTAGTGCTGGCAAAATTTCTGATTTGATGCTCGTGGATATTGCAGTCTCAAATGTAAAAAGAAACTGGTAGCACCGATATTTTTGTATTATTTTGACATTATTACTTTTATTGCTGTCTATTACTTCAGTTCGTTTTCCAAAATAAAGTTTAATATGAATAATGTAACTAATGGGGAACTAGTAGAAAAAAGTCGTCATCTCACACTCAAAATAAATGTTGTAATTGTTTTGTTTTTTGTCATTTGTTTTTGTGATTCTTCTTTATTTATTTTTTATCATTGACATAAAGATACAAATCTAAACTGATGTATAGATGAAATACATAACGTCATAGTAAAACAGACAATACGGTCGTTTGTTTTCAAGCATCAAAACTAATCGATCATATTCCATACTATAAATATAAAGTACATGAACGAAAATAAATTTTGTGATGCTTGTTGAAAAGTGCTTAGTTTTTGTTCGATATCTAGTAGAACATTCTGAACGAGATGATTAATCTTTAATGAGTTTCGAACCCCATAGTATCGAACTTTAGCTATCTTTAATTACAGTAGAAACTTGGGAGCATCGTTTTAACATCGTAATAGTCACCGGTGACTATACAAGAAATACCATCACTTTGCTTTTTCAGCGCGTAGGTTTGAGACTCATTTTTTCGAGAAATGTTTGTATTTTTCTCGTTCTAGATTGTCACATTTCCGATGAAGATCAGTAGATGAACGAAAGAAATCATCGAAAAATCGCCTATTGACATCTTTACACGAACAACCGATCGTTAGTGTCAATGTTCTTACTTGTACTCCTAATTGTTATTCTTCACATCTAGAACTGGCAATATTTATAAATCAGTGTTGTTGTAATAAATGCTGCGTCATGGTAAACATTATACTTGAAGAAAAATCGATCATGAAAAAGATCAGATTAGACAAAATTATGTTTTAATGTTGAAAGAGATCAATAACATGAAGTAGAAGAAGAAAGGAACGAACTAAAGTAGAAAGACAAGCAGACAAAAGTGTGACTTCAAATCAAGTCAATATAAATACCAATCGCGAATTCATTCTTATTGTACGCACATTGAAAGGTATGCATTTCTAATTTATCCTTATATTAAAGCAACGCTCACTAACGGATATTTGAATGGTTGACAATGAGAATCTAATTTTAATAGCTAAGTGATTCATCCTCTCCTAGTTCAATCGGTTGGATAGAAAGTGTAAATATTATTTTTTATTTCAGTTTCGAATAGCGTAATATCGATGAGTGCTAATTTTATAACAAACGTTCAACTAACTTCAGCAATAGCGAATGTTACAAAAAACAAACAATGTGAATCACTATTGAGCTTAAGCTTTCTCATTCAGCAGCAACAACTTCTGTCAAAATGAAGAAATCGATGACGAATGGAGAAGCATTGGTTGTCGCTTAGTCATATACTCTATTTGTGTCTCGATCATCAACAACAGAGTTAAAAACAAAATGATTTACAGTGCAAACCACCTGTATTAAATATTAGATTTTCTTTAAAAAAAGCTCTCGTGAACTAAAATTAACAGAGAATTGGATAGAACAAGAATATCAGCATGATAAACAGGACTATTTTGAAATAATAACTAATTTAGAAAAAAGATGGATTTGCTATACACAGGGTTTCCGATTGTTCTTAGGGATGGGAAGGGCTAAAAATTTTGCTTCGCAGAAAGTGGCTGGTGAAAAAAAGTTTTCGAAATTTTTGTCAGAAAGCTGCTGGCGGAAAAACGTCAAAAATTTTGTCAGAAAGTCCAAAACATTTTTCAGGGGGGTCTGGAATCCCGGTCATTCACCACCACCAACATCAAGACGATTCGATAAAACGAGAATTGGTTTGAAATGTATTAAATTGCACGTGAAGAAAAAAAAACTAACGATGAATTTAAGTTACAAAGTAACCAAAAAAAGAAAAATTGAAATAAAATAATCAAATCGAAAAAGGATGAACTATCAAGTGAATCGATTTATCTTCCAACGTTTTGAAATGAAGTTAAAAGTATTGAATTGCTTTATTCATAAATTAGAGCAACTGGTACTACCTGAACAAATCCCTGTTTTCTTTAGACTTTCATCATTGATAAAAATACTTTTGTAAAATAGTCCTGTTTATCTTCTTATGTGTACTCTTGTTCTACCCAATTCTCTGTCAATTTTAGTTCACAAGAGTTTTTTTAATAAAATCTAATGTTTTGCACTGTATCATCTCATCTACAGCTTTTATACCGACAAGTTGTCTTCTTACATTTTATTATCGCATAATATTTGTGAATTTTTCTCTATCTTTTCACACGATGCTATTGATTTTATGTTAATTACTCTTTTCATGCTCATAAACTATAGAATTCGTTCACTTTTTCTGTTATTTTCTTTACTAAACAAGTGTATCGACTATGAAATATTTTCATTCTATTCAGTTTTGTTTTGAAATCTATTATTATGTTTGTGTGTAACAAAGGTTGATTTACTTTACCTTTTTCACCTTTTATTCTTGTATCCTATCGAGAATATGAAAGGTTTATTAGGAGGTTCCCATATGAAATTTAAAAATTGTGATATCTTTTTATTTTCTTGTTCAAATGTAAATAACATATTTTTTATTCAAAATCCAGTGATTCTTGTGTGTACTTTCAAATTTCATGCACATGCTATCATTTCGAATAAATTATCATTCAAATAAAAAGTGAGAAGAACATCTTTAAAAAAAATAGAAGATAACTGAGGAGGAAAACATCGTTTTTTCCCAATGTTACTCTTAATCACACAGATAATTGTATGAACGAAAGATATTCACTTCATAGATACACAGATTATAGTTGTACAACTGTAATTATTTTGTTATTTCAGATTGGTTTTGTTCAAGAAAGAAAAGTATGAATTCAGATTTACATACTAAGCAACATACATTGATAATTCAGGAGAGTTCAAATACAGAGCAAGATAGTGAGTCCAAATCATCAACGTTATCTCAAAGTGGTAAGAAAATGTGAATATACTTACAGATTTTGTTTAAATATACAAATCCGTTCATACCATGGCACTTTTTCTTTTAATATATCACTGATTATCAATGTTCAATTATTTTATATTTCATCGTTCTCGAAAATGTGAATATCACCTTATCTTTTCTTATTTCGGTTCTACAAAGAAGGTCACAAACTACTTTTGTCGAATGGTATCTGTTTAAAAAAAAAAGAGTTCAGAAATAGATCTGAACCTGCTGCCTTCTTGTATTAATGTCAAAATATGCTTACTGAACTGAACTTTATTGAATACAAACAGTCATACAAGTTAATTAAAAAGTTAATATCGAGACAATATGTGTCTATTGTATGTAAAATAAGGAAAAAATAGTGACAAAGAAAAAGGAAAACAAGTAAACAACACGATAAAGTAAAGGGAATAGAAAATTGCATAGACGTGAGCGCAATTTAAAGAAAAAGAGAAAGAAAGCCACTAGACAATACTGTTGGCTTTTAATAAGTTACAAAGTACGGTATAATATTTTTTTATAAAAATTCCCATACCAGGAGCACATCTAATGATATATGGAAGCTTCTTTCACGCTCTGATTGTCTTGAAAGAGTAATAAGCAGTGAATGAGTCTGTATTCCATCGAGGACAGGTAAATATTTTTATATAATTATTTTTGAGAGATTATCTGTTTTCATATAATTAGAGCAAATTGTCTGAAAGAGCAGTTCTGACCTTTTGACAATTTCAAAGATATTGTAAACGAAACAGTTTTCGTCCAGATGTCAGAGTTTCTATTCCAACCCTTTTTCTTTATCAAAGTTTCCGTTAACAACGTGAAGTCGGTGAACAGTATTGAATGTATTAAATGAGATTTCAGATTATTATCATTAATAAATTAACGCATAGTCTATGGTAGAGCGAATACACGTTACCTTGTAAAAAGGTGCTTTAGTTTGTGTGGGGTCTCTTCGCCTAATTTGAGAGTTTTGCATGACAAATACTAGCTCAATTTATCCAAAAATTAATCAACAATATTTCGTCATACTGAGCAGAGATCCGCACAGTTGTCGTGCCGAAAATGTTTTTGGATAACAACAAACAGAAGAAGCATCTAGTTAGTAGCACTTTGCAAAATAAGTTGCGTCTAACAAACGCTTAAGTTTTCTGAGAAATATACATGCGATTTTTTAAGAATGAATATATCTTAAAGAATGGCCGAACCGAACCAGAAAAGTTTTAGGAATGGTTGAATCGAATCGGGTTCGATCGCGGACCTCTGATATTTAGCCTAACCAGATGAATCGAGCACCACTTATGGATATTGTTGATCTTAATATACACTCGACACAATGAGTACATGAGGAGACAACTTTATTTGTTGCGTTCGGTGGTCTAGATATGAAAAAAAATCATGAGAATAGATGTTCTTCGACTCTTGTGTATGATAATATTCTCAGAAAGTGATGTTTAAAGATCACAGATATCGAACATAATGAACTGTTTTTGTGAAAACTTCCTAGAACTTGTCCATTTTCCGAAGGAAAAGGAAGTTTGAAGTACAAAGTTTATATACGTGGATTTTTTGTCAGTAGCTATAAACACAATTTATATTAAAATTTGGTCAATCACAATTTCATCCTAAAAGTTTACAGCTACTGAATGGACTAGTAACGGACAGTGCATTATCGATCTGATGTTGTTAGATACAATTTTTAAAAATTATTAGGATATATTATTACATGTTCTATATTATAGTCCAATAATTCAATAGAAAGTTTTCACATTTTTGCTTCGTAGAAGCAACGCTGACAATCTTTTTTGCATTAAGTAGAATACTATTGGCTGAAATTCGCCAATTTTTATATCTCAGTGATGTTTAACATTATGATGTGTTAAGTTATGTTTTATTTCATTTTTTTAAGTTTCTCCTTTATCGACAACAATATCCCACGTTGGTGCTATCCGAATAAATGATAATGGTCGTCGTATGAAATTTGATGGAAAAAAATGGCAAGCATTGTGCGGTATGATTAACTGTGAAAAGAGACAACAAAAATCTGGCCTGTGTTGTATGCATTTTAAAGAACAAAAAGATACTTTTAAAATTATATTAGAAAAATATGTTCCAGATGTAAAAAATATAGCACAAGAAATTGGAAAAAACAATAGTCACAATGGCAATAAAACATCAAAAGGTATGATAGAAAATTGATAGTAAATACTAATGAGTTTATTTATTTTAAAATAAGTTAAAAAAAAAAATATTTTCTTCTTTTAACAGTAAAATCACCAACTCCAAAATTAGGTGACATAAAAACAAGTTTAAAATCAAATCGTCGTTATATATTCGATGGTACAAAATTTCAACCAATTTGTTCAAAAGAAGGTTGTGTTAAACGTGAAAAAAGTAATCGACTTTGTGCAACACATTCAAATGAAATACAACAACATCATGGAAATAATTTATTAATTACTAATGATTTAGATCATGAACTTATGAGAAATGGTAAGTGTATGGAGAATAAAGTCTCTCTTTTCATATTTCTTCTCACAGATTTTTAGTAAAAAAAAACAACAACAACATCTTTTTAGAATCATTTTTATTATCAAGTCCAATTGCAATACCCATACCAACATCCAAAGTAGATAAAAGTAGAATATGTAATGAATCAAATCGTTATTCTGTCATTCGAAAACAATTAGAATCATCCTATGGAAAAGATAGATATGATAAATATGAAAAACCTTATCAACTTTATGATAAAGATTTTAATGAGCAACGAGATCAACAAAATCTCAAACGACATCATGATGATGATGAAGGAGATGGAGAACCAGAGAGAAATTGTAATATATTGAAAATATCTTTTTTTTTAAGATAAAAATTTAAATAATACTATTCTTTATTTCTAGTTGAATTAATGGAAGTTTCATCATCAATGACAACATCGCTCAATGTTCTTAAACGTCCTGATGGTAATTGTCAACAGCCTACATCTCCTTGTGAACGAGCCTCATTTACACAATGTCCTCATTGTCAAAGATTTTTATGTTTGGCACATCTTGTTGAACATCAAAATTTAATGAAACAAAAACGTGATCAATTATTCGTCCAAGCTAGTGATATTCATTCTCTTTTAGCATCATTAAAATTTGATAATGAAAAATATGAACAACAATTACAAATGGAAAATGAAAAATGGAAAGAAGTTGAAATAGCACGAATTCTTCAACAATATAATGATAAAAAACAAAAAATAACACTTGAAAGTCAAAAGGTTGCTGAAAAATTTGTTGAAAATCAAAAAGAATTAGTTCAACATTATGCTTATACAATATCTACAAAAATTCAAGAATTATCAAAACAAATTGATTTATATCCATATGAAATTGATGATTTTAATTCAAATTTAACATCATTTGATGGATCTGTTCAAGAATTAAAAAAACTTGCAAAACAAGATAAACGACTAAATATAGATAGTAATGATGTTATTCATATCGTTACTGTATCAGATTGATGAGTTATTTTATTTACAAAATCCGCAATCGTCATCACAAAACTGACCTGTGATGAAAAATAAAAAAATGTCTTTCAGAGAGAAAAGTAGATTGTTTTCTTTTTATTATTTTTATTTTTAAAATTCTCTACTACTAAATAATTTTTTTTTTTTTTTTGTGTTTTTTTCATCTAAACATATTATTGTAAAGACGTATTAATCCGACGTAGGTTGTGAGACACTTCTTCTGCGTATTTTTAATGCAGGGGCTTCTATCCTATGGTACCTATGAAACAAATTGTCTTCAAACTACTATTTTTTGACAGAATACATTTTTATATTTTGAGAAATTGTAAAAAGAAGGAGTTTATAGTGAAATTTATCCAATATCAAATATTTTTTTATTGAACAACTTGAATATGTTCCTTTGTTTTGATATCCACCGATATATAAAACTACAAGCTAACATTGTGAAAACTATACACCGTATTTTGACGTGAAAGATGAGTTTGTGTTTTATATGAAAAACGAGACTATTTTCAGAGAGTACAAATATGTCAACAGGAGTCATTTATCTCAAAGCGCTGGGGGATGAGAATAGAAGCCCCTGCTTTAATGTTCTATTCTTTTTTTCTTTTTGTTTTTTTTGTTTAATACAAGTACTGTGTTCGTTTTATTTTTTTTTTGTCGACTTTTTTTGTCGGTACAAGTTCTGTAATGCTAAAGTCGATCATCATCTGTTTGTATTATTATGTGTGTGACTTAATCTCCTTTCTTTTTATTCACTATTTAATGACCGTACATTATTTTTAGTTTTCCATTTTTTTTTTTTTTCTTCTTTTAGCCGATGATAAAGTGAAAGGTAAGTGTTGTTTTTGTGAATTGTGGCGTAGTATTCTTGTCAGATTTTACTCCTCATTAATTCCTTGATTAGCTCAAAGATATTAAAGTCATTTTTATTTTCTCTATAATGAATGTTTGTTTTTTGTGTGTGAATGTCTCAAATCTGAAAAATAGTTAAATGTCTAGATATATTACGTTGAAGAACAGAATTTTGCGCGGATTTTGATTCAAGAATATTTAGTACTCTGCTAGTTTCTTTTCATCCCACCACCTTCAGTCTTTATTGTGCATAATGTTTGAGTTGCCATTTGAACTTCTGATTAGTTAATGTATTCTTTACAGATTAAATATAAAATCATAGTTATGTAATGCAAATAAACATGAATAAAACATCTCACTATTGGAAACATAAGGCATAAAAGAATAGAAAATATAAACATAATAAACTGGAATAAGTTAAAGACTTTTGGTTGACGAATGTGATTAAAAATGTTTTAGTTTTGTTTTCAGACTGATGTAGGTTAGTTTAAAGAATGTACTGGCTTACTTTGAACCAAACTATATCTCAAAAATGTTGTTCATTCATCTTTCTCAGAGTCAGACAACACAACTCCGGAGTTGGAGTTTGCTTTTTAAACGACTGGAGTTGAGTTGATGACAGATTTTTTCAACTCTAACTCTGAAACACTAGTTCAAAATAGTTCTTTTTGTTTAGTTTTTATTTATTTTGTCACGAGAAATCTAAACGTGTGCTCAGCATATAATAACATATGATATACCTCACATCTCGCACGAATTTAAAAACAGGAAGGAAAAAGAACAAATAGATTTCAACTCGGAGTTGAAACCCTCGGAATTGGAGTTCCCAAGCAAAAAGAGTTATTTATCTGGATTCAGCTCCATATACATCTAGATATACGTGGAGCTGAATCTAGATAAATAACCCAAAAAGTCGGGTCGTTTCCGCTTGGGTTGTACCTAGCCGGAGTTGCCCACCTCTGATCTTTCTACGTTTTGTACTTGATATTAGTTTAGCATGTGAAAATACATGCTCAATTCGAGCCGAAAAGGCTTGAACTGAGAAAACATGGCATACGACCATCTTTTATATCAGTAATGATGTACGAAACTAATATGTTAAAAATTTTGACTTCATAGGCATCGAGCTTTCATACACGAACAAGCTCTACATTTCAATTCTCAGAAGCAATTGCTTCTCAAAATTTTCTACTTTTTTTTGATGCTCTACCTAAAATTCATTAATTTATCAGCACTAATACTCTTAATGGCAGTTAAGGATTGTACTCGAGTTTTTGTTTGAGGAAGATCTGTAGTGCATTCATCAAGTACTAATGAGTGTTTAATTTCTGTTTATTAAAAGAGACTCAAACATGTATGGCTACCTTTTCGTCATATTGCAAAAAAGCTTTCCTATGTAGAAGTCTTTCAACAAAAAGTACTTCAAAGACAAGTTTGTAAGTACAAGTACTTTTTTTCGAGCACAGGTGAATTACTTATCTTCGAATATTGATACTTATTCTATATATGGTAAAAATAAAGAAAAAATGGGTTCGATGTCAATAGACGTACCGTGGCAACGTTTTGATTATAGCTGGAAGATACAGCTTCTCAAGGGCTGCAAAATGGTTAATTGAATTTTTTGATATCTTATCAGTCCAAGGAATAGAAGATTGATAGTTTTGGAATTCACTTGTACATTTGGTAATAAAACACTCAATACATTTCTTTCGTAGAGGATGTTAAGACGCACCTTTCGACATAAAAGACTTGACCCTTGAGGATGGAAGGAGAAATGATAATCAAAATATGAAGTGACTACTTTATAGACTGCCTGTTATCATAGCACCATTCCGAATAGAATTGTATTTTTTTAATGCGGTGCGAAACAATACCGCATTATAGTAATAAACTGAGTTTTTCCTTTCTAGAAAAGTGACATTTCTTTAACGATTTTCTCGCGAACTAGAAAGCGTAGAATAAAATTTTAAGCGTAATAGGGAACTGTGTGTCTGAATTAATAAATAAGCTATTTTCAATCCTTGCAGATGTTCCAGTGGAGAGTTAGGACATTCGAAAGTACATGATTTGAACGACCGGGACTTGTAATTATTTTTCCAAAAGAAAACCGATAATTAATCTGAATGAATTCATGTATAGGTGCATTTATAAGAGAGTACATTCCCATAGTGTGTGATTCATTTCATGACAATGTTTTTACATGTAAATAATATTTTTATATGCAAGTAATCTACACTTTCTTCATCAATATGGTACGACTACTGTATGTTATTAACTTCGCTTTGCATTTGGCACTCTCGCTGCTGACGGGATTACCATCTAGTTTCACTTTGCAGATATATTTATTTATTGCATATAGAGACAAAAAGAAAAAGAACAAAACATTTTTTGTGCATAGACACAAAATAATTTTCAGTTAAAACCATCTCTAAAACCCTACAAATGAATCTACTCTCCCATCTATTACATACAGAAGAAAAAAAAGTTTTAAGAATATAAATTAATTTTTTTCATTATTTGTTTTCGACAAATATGACAAGTTTTTAGAGGTTGTGAACATTCAGAACATGCCGTATGTCCACATAGAAAAGCAACATTTCGCTGACGTTCCATACATATCGAACACAAATTACTATCTTCTAATTCTTGTACTTTAGATTCTAATTCTTTCAATTTATCGACACTTCCATGACGTTGTGTTTGTTGTTGAGGCTTTGATGATGGTGCCAATAGAGAAGGTGTCATCGCTATCGATTGACCATCTAAAATGATAAATGATAATAAATTATGTGTAAGATTTTGATCAGTGATAATACATTTGAAGTATTTTTCTGTGTTCTGAAACAGAGATATATCCAGTAAGATAAAAAAAAAAACACTTGAAGGCAAATATATCCATTCCTTTGTTTTAGAAATCGAGCTTTTACTGCTGTTTCTGCGGTGATAATGCAATTAGTAGTTATAAGTGACACTTTCCTTTTATTTCAAAAGTAAACAGTAAAGATATAATCCATATCTTTTCTTTCCTAAGAAAAAGGAAAGTGGCACCTTTCTCTTTTCCAAAAAAAACAAGAAAAGCGATATCTTTTCTTTTTGCAAGAAAAAGACTTTTCTTAAAAGGTGCACAGAAAAGATAGTGCTATTTTCCTTTTTCTTAGGAAAGAAAAGATATGCATTATATCTTTACTCTTTTTTGTTGTAAAGAAAAAGAAAAACTTTTCTTTTGTTAATAAAAAACGAGGTAGGAAAGAGAAAATGCCACCATCACACATTTTTTAGTTTTGATTCGAGTAATGATGAATGAATAAGAGAAAAATAATGAAAATAAATTAATTCAGCACACATATCAATCACAATCAATGATGAAATTATCAAAAGAGATGTTTAAAAAAAAATAAGATTAAATGATTCAGTGATAGATACACAAAAACAACAATATTTTAGAATCACCAAGAAGTCTGAAGGCTTTAGCTTATCGTATTATTAGCTTGATATCGTGGTAAATTCAAGAAATGTGAGCAGGTTAAAAAAAATACACATATTCTTGTTTATTTGTCTACGACAGATCTTCTTCCAAATTTATACACAAATTAACTTAATATAGAAAATAATTTTCTTTCACTTTTCTATCAGGTGACGCAGAATAAATTAGACTGTTTATTTGTATTTTCAAATTTTCTCCTCCTCCTTACACTTGACTGAGCTAGTTTCTTTTACCAAAAGATTTCTTGTTGAATTCTCTACAAAAAAAATGTATTCACTGTTTCATTGCAAAATCTGAAGGTGTAAAATGCTATGAAAAATGATGAGAAGTACTAAAAAGTTTAAAAAAATAAACGTATTTACAAGTGTTTTTAGTATTATCTGCTAAAAGTTTGTGAGAGAGAAAAACTGAAGTAGCCATTGTGTATGCCTCGAAAAGTTCTGTTTCCCAACTGTAATTTAAATAATTTTTTAGTTAGAATTAAGGGCGCAAGAATTTCATTATTTTTTGCCAATAATTTGAGCCCTCCAATAAAACAAATAAAGCTTAGTCAAACTTGATCTATTCAAATTGATTTTTTAATTTTGAAAACAAATGCTTAGTCATTAGGATCGTACCTCTAAAATTTCGAAAAAAACTTTGTTTTGTTCCACCAGGCAAAAAAAAGATAACAACGTTTGCTATTTTCACTTAATTGCTGAGAAATTAATCTTTGCGTTGGGTATTTAGATTCAAACGATTTTTGTAGAGAATTCAACAGGAAATATTTTGGTAAAAAAAAAATTAGCTCAATTAAGTGTAAAGAAGAAGAGAAAATTTGAAAATACAAACAAACAAGTCTAATTTATTCTGCGCCATCCGATACTATGTTTACAGTGATGGATAAATAACTTCTTTATCAAATTAGAGATCATTCAGTGGAACTTCTGCCTAATTTAAATTTGTTTACCTGGTTGATATTTATGTTCAATGGCTAATTGACAAAGAACACATCGTTTCATTTTTAGACAACATTCATAACATGCCACTTTATGTTTACACGGTTCGAATAGGATAGAGGCAGCACTTTCATCGCATATCATACAAAATGTTGTGGGAATTTGTTTGGCTATTCTAAAATATAATATGGTAAGTGTAAATATTTTTAATCATTTATTTTTTTTTTACATACATTGATCGATTAAGTAATGTTAAATATTCTTTGAAACGTGGTTGTTCTTGTGCAATATAATCCAGAGGCATTCGATCGTGACGATTTTTACATAGAAGAGGTGCTTCATTTTTAACTAAATAAGCGGCTATAACACTATTTGGAACGTAACGAAATTCACTCGGAAGAGATTTGGAAAACTAAAATAGTTGAAATATAAACGAAATGATAAACAATTGAATGAGAGCGAAAACAGTTTAGCTTTTTTACTCACTTCTAATATTTGATCACATTCACCTGGTTTAGGTTCTTGTACTTGTTGTTGTTTGGATAAAATTAAATGTAACGGTGTATCACCATCTTCATCGAGAACATTCACTTTAGCTCCATTAACAATTAAAAGTTCAATAATCGATGTATGACCTTGACTGACAGCTAAATGTAACGCCGTCTGCTTCCGATTATTCACAATTTCAATATCAGCATGACCCTACGACAAATAATATAAGATAGACTCGTTTTTTTTTGTTGATAAACTTATGTCAACTTACTTCACGTAATAATAAAGATGTTACATCTTTGTGACCGTTTAATGCCGCTAAATTAAATAAGAAATCAACAACTATTAAATTCATTTTCTATGAGAAAATAAAATGTTTTCGAACCTAAATGAAGTGCACCAAAACCGTCATCTTTTTTTGAATCGACTAATTGACGACAGATAGTTATCAGACGAGATGTTACACTAAAAAGTAAAAAGATTAAATAGTGATTAACAGTTATTAATAATGAACTATTCATAGTATTAAAGGAAAAAGTGTTAACGCTTTTTAGCAGAAAAAAAAATACTAAATGCAAAATCTCAGAGAAAAATATGTGTAGAATGTGCACACACAAATCAGAAATGTGCACACACAAGCAGCACTGTTTTTAGCTAATTTCTGTCAATTAGTTAACATCTTTTAAATTTGTACAAATTGTATTAAACTTACGAGTAAAAATCACAATCAAATTATAACAAGGTAAGATACTGCAAAGAAAAAAATAAGTCGACTCGAACTTCGATAATTTTCGATTATCATTATACAGTTCAATTTTTAACCCTAGTACTACCATGCTCTTTTTTGCATTTTATACGACTCTGAATGAGCTCCTCCAATGAGTTTCTATATTATCATCCGTCCTATCTCAAAATGGTCCCTCTAATCTTAAAACCATTCTTCCTTCCATCCAAAGCCTAAATCCACCATTGCTTCTTCGTCTTAACTCATCCTCTTCACCCACATGCACTTCATACTCATTCGCATCCTAACCCACAGCCACTTTCTCATCAAACATTCTGTGTGTAAAAAATATGAAACAATAAATATTTCACTTGTATTGTTCAATTGAATCATTAATGGGGTCAAAAATGCCCCCCTTGGTAGTACTAGGGTTAATATCATTTAACAAAATACGTACTATGAGTTTCCTTTGAGTGCGGCATGATGAAGTACATTAAATCCACGTTTATTTTTCAACGAAAAATTAACATTTGGTACTTGTAATATTAAATCAATTAATTCACGACTATCTTTGGGATCGACTGTAGTCGAAGATGATGATCCAGAGTAGTTGCTTTGCCTATAAACAATCGAATGTAGAATTAGAGAAGAGATAGAAATAAAAGAAGTATCGACTTACTGTTCATGCAAGTTTTGTAATGATTGATTTTCAAATTCTTGAATGAGAGATAAAGTACTATCGCTAATCACATTTACATCACTTCCATATTTGACACGGGTATTAGCTATATCATGCACAGCAGTATCACCATAAACATCCTAAAAATGAGCAAGAATATAGCATATAGAAGTTCTCATAACAGTGAAGAGAAAGCGTTCTAAACAACAGAAAAAGTTACTACTAAAGATAATATCAGAGCTAACGAGGAAACCTATGGACATGTACTTCTCCGCTTTCATTCATTCATACGTCGATCAATAGAGGATATCGAGGTTGTAAAAAGATAAAAAGGATTCAGGTCGATGACTTTTCCTTCAAAAGTTACAGACATTTTTCTGTTTTTCCCAGCGAAAAATAGAAAAAATCATATCTCCGTCCAGAAAAGTAGTTAAAAGCTCAAGTTTCTTTCTATAGCTCTTCTATATATCTGTGATATTCATAACAAAGTTCCACCTTTACAACTCATTCCATTCCCGAGTTATTGAATTTTAAGTTTTTCATAGATTAGTCTTTTCATAAGCTCACAATATAATGGCTTTTCAAATCGTTAGTTTTCTACTAAAACTGTTGAAACTTTCATAAATGACATGGTTTTGTAATCTAATTTCGTTTATGAAAACAATAAAGATTTCTCAGGCTGGCTGTTTTCTGTGTGTACCAATCAAAACTATGTCATTTACAAAAGTTTCAACAGTTCTAGTAGAAAACCAACGATTTGAGAAGCCATTATATTGTGAGCCTATGAGAAGGCTAATCTATGGAAAACTTAAATTTCAGTAACTCGGGAATGGAATGAGTTGTAAAGGTGAAACTTTGTTATGAATATCACAGATATATAGAAGAGCTATAGAAAGAACCTTGAGCTTTGAACTACTTTTCTGGAGATATGAATTTTTCTATTTTTCGCTGGGAAAAACAGAAAAATGTCTGTAACTTTTGAAGGGAAAGCCATCGACCCGAATCATTTTTAACTTTTTACAACCTCGATATCCTCTATCGATCGATGTATGAATGAATGAAAGCGGAGGAGTACATGTCCATAGATTTCCTCGTAAGATATTAGAGAAAATGACTCTAATCAACTTTGAAAAAGAAATTCTGAACTCTTAAATAATAGTTTAGTAGATATAGTAGTAGTTAAACATCTTACTAGACTACTCCTTCTTAACCGATAGTTCATGAACATAATCGAAGTTTTTATAAACTTTTTTTAATCTTCCGATCACACTATCACTGTTTATAAAAGAGTACTCACTTGTAAGTTAATATCCAGTTGATGTTGATATTTTAGCAATATTTTTGTACATGTGAGAAATTGTTTATTTACAGCAATATGTAAAGTTGAACATCCTGTCAGATTAACCGAGTTAATATCGGCTCCTTTCGATATAAGTAAATCCATACAGTCAGATTGATTACCAAAACATGAGTAATGTAATGCCGTGTCACCATCCGAATCTTTCAATTCTAAATTACATCGATACGTTAATAATAATTTGACAACATCTAAATGACCTTGATGAGAGGAGACCATTAGCGATGATTTATCACCCGAACGATAGTCGACCTAAATACGTATATCACGATATATTGAAAAATTAAGTTAGAAGAACCTTTCTCTCACCAGTTGTGGATTTTTGACTAATAGATCTCTGACTTGAGCGTATTTTCCTTGTGCTGCTAATCGAACAATATCTCCATTTTCTTCCTCATCTTGTGCACCCATACTATTTGCCGTTCGCTCATAAATAAATTGTAGTTGTTTACATGAATTAGCCAACGAATTCGACGCCCATTCATGTTCATTCCACGCAATGGTGTTTTGAAGTTCAACTTGATGTTTGGGTATCGGTAAACAACAAAGAGGATTAAACGTGTAAATTTGGCCAGAACCCAAGCATGAGACACGAATATCACCATCAGAATACACTTGGATCACTTTACCAATACGTCCAACAATCTGTGAAAGGAGAGAAAGAAATAAAGTTTATGAAAAATTGCATAATACAAGAGTAATGAAAAACTGGCGTGATCTCTCCATGTTTTCAATGTGCTAAAATTAAAAACATTTTTCGTAAAAGAGCGTAGCCTAAATACAAAACTTGTGTATCAGATAGTTTCTTAACAAAACTTCACTGAAAAAACATTCAGAAAGCATAGACCAACAAAAAAGCTCTAGAAACAAGTGAGATTTTTTTAGTTTACTAGTACAACTTAATGAAATAAGGTTCTACCATAAAACTGAAAAGAAGAAAATGTAGCTTGTAGAAAACTCCATTAAAACTATGTACCACAAAATTTAAGCTTACTTTGTAGTTGTATTTCCAAGCGTTTTGTAAATTTGGGAGATGGATCCAAATAGACAAACAAGATTCTTTCTATCGATTAAGTCAACTAACTAGTGATGATTATTTGATTTTCACATTAATAAATACAACGATCATATTTCTCTGGAAAAATCCAGAATGAAACGAAATTTACTAATACACATTCAAAAAAGGCATACTCTTAAAAGTAATATTCATTGACTTTTAAACGTATCCAATAGAACTTCATACTGGTAAAAGGCAAAAGTAGCAAATCTTCTCTTGTTTTAAAACTCTTGTTTCTTGTCGAAATTGTTTGATACACAAATTTTGTACTTTAGGTCACGCCTGTTCAGATCCTTCATACACTAGAAACGTGGAGAGAATTTTTTCCATTAGTTTTACATATGTCACTCGGACTAAAATGTTTTGGCCTTGTATAAAATACAATGATAAAATTCTACTTCTATGCGAAGTAAAATCATTTCTGTTAAAACATAAGCATCATATCTAACAAAAGGATAAAATACTTACTGTTTGCATTCCTTCTGACCATTCGCCATGTCCTTTTTGATATAATCGCACTTTATCTTCATCTGGACTAATCTTAACGTAATCACCAACCAAAAAGGCATGGACCTGTAGTAGACAAATAAACAAAAAATGTGTATTTTTTTTAATCTGCTCGCATTTCTTGAATTTATCACGATATCAAGCGAATGATATGATAAGCTAAAGCCTCAGTCATTCAGAATCAACATGAATTCAGAGAGATTCACAAAAAATTAACATCATCATCGGCACTAAGCTATATTTAGCATTATTAGTTTGTTTGTGGTATCCTAAGTTTAACAAATTAAATCGCATACTTTCGTTAATGCACCCGGATGAAATGTCCATCGATTATTGAGCCCATCAAATTGAACTCGAATATCGCCACGATCCGTTACACGATGAACACAGCCAATTTTGCCAATAACCTAAAGTGAACAGAATACGGACTTCGATGTAACAGTGACAATATTTTGTACTTACATCCGCCATTTTGATGTTCCATCCGCCATGTCCCTCTTGAAGTTGTTTCAATAAATCCAAATCCAACATCACACGAACCTTTTCACCAATTGAAAATAGTGACATACCCAATACAGGCGGTAATAGACGTTCGACATGTTCACCTGAACAAACAGAGATAAATAGAATGAGCTGTATTTACTGCAGGTCATCGAATTTTTTCTAGATAGACAATGAGCAGAGACAATAAATTATCAAACATCCTGATGTTTTTGTAGTACTTTACATAATATGAAAAGAAAAACAAAGGTCACAAATCAAAGTAAAGAAAAAAATTTATACTCATAAATATTTTTTACTTTTTACGATTAAACAATCTAACTAGCGTAGTACCCGCGTAATAGTTAACGTTTTCCATCTTTATAAGAAAAACACTCATTTCCTAATGCTTATCAAACAACACCTAGAAAGTAGTTTAAATTTTGCGCGTTTAACTCATTGAGTATTCTCTTTTGCCTTTGCTATTACAAATTGTACACCTACCAAGTACAGGTAAATGCATTTTGTAATAATTTCCATTTTTCGCTTCTTGAACGTATTTTAAATCCACTTTGCCTACAATGAAACAAAACAAAAGTAAAACTAGTTAACAACCGTACACAACTCGCTCTTTTTTCGATGCTGCTGATATAGTTAAATTGTTTTTACCTTTATGTCCTACTCGGTAAACATTGAAATTCTGATTATGTGTCCACTGAACAGTTGCCACACTTCTTCCCGACTCTCTTTCCCATCCTTTGATTTCAGTGACTTTGCCTTGCCCATTTCCTCCGTCTTGATTATTCCAATCCCAATCAGCACCTCTCACCACCATTGCTCCTTTGAATATTCCTTTCGCCAAGACTTTCTCCGGCAATTGTTGACGTGATTGAAGTTTGTAACCTTGAGTATTTGTTGACGTCTCAAATCTTAAAACGAAGAATACTATAGTTCTGAAAAAACATAAACACCTATTTCACCTTATAAATGGATGTGTTAAATCGTGTTTATCTTGCATGTAACATTGGGTACACAAATCAAAATCAAAACATTTTCCACATTTCCATCTCATACCGAGAATACCGTGTTTTCGACACGAATCACAAATGACATTTGGATGTCTAACACCGATTTGCGCATTGTCAAAAACTCTTAGATCAAAGGCATTTTGATAGCCGACACGATAATTAGTACGTGAACCAGAATCCCATTGAACAACGACCGTTTTATCCGGTGAGGTAGAGGAACCTGGTTTTCCTATTTCAACCACGGTACCCACATGACCTTCGCCTACACAACAAAAATAAATAAGCAAAAAATTTGAAAACTACTATATAAAACATAAGTTCATTCTCTCGAACGCAGAGTCGACTTACCATCATCTTGATTTCCCCATTTCCAGTCTGGACCACGAACCTATAACAAGATGAAAAGAGAGAAATTTTCGACATATCACGATTCTTCAGTGCTTCACTTTTCACTTAATTAAAGAAAAAACAGAACGAGCAAGTTTTTAACCTATGGAACAATTCTAAATGAATTATTTGCGCACCAGATAAGGTGCTCTCACTTAGAACTACTTTCTTCTTCCGATACTGATGAAATTCTTTGCTCTTTACATTCAAGTTTGTTTGAACTCAATAAATTTGTTTTAAAGCAAACAAACAAAAACGATTGTAAAAGAAAATTTTTCAGTAAAATTCTAATGGAAAGGCAATTACTACATCTTGTTTCATAGAAAGATGCAGAATATCGTAGGAGGGAGAATTAATAAAACTGGTGATTTTCGAAATTATTGAAATACTTACTACTCTTATTCCGACTTCAAGCATTTTGAACGCTGTTGTTGCATCACGGATCGAATAGATACATCATTAACGGCAGACTTTCTCTTGAACATAATTTTTGTTACCGGAGACCACAAAAGAAATGCGATCAAAAGTCTAGATTAAATGCATATTAATGAGAAAAGCAAATATATGAGAAGTGTGATTAGAGTAAGCAACGTTGAGGAAACGAAAGTCCATTCTTCGGAGAATCAATGGTATTTCACGGAACCATAAACCAATCGGAATACGCTTTTCTAGATGTCTGTAAATGACTCTTTTCTGATGTTGCGAACGTGATTTTCTCAAATAAACAAGGGAACAGTAGATACTACTTCTCACTCTACTTCCTTTTTTAAATGAAGATGTATGTTTCACACATTCTTGATCCCTCAATCGTGCTCTCTCTTTAGTGTTAAGTAGATGCAACCCATGTCGTTAAAATCCTTTCATTCTTGCGATTACTTGCGATTAGCAGTAAAATCGCCAATTATTCGCAATTTTGACCATAATCGTTCATAAATTGCGATATATTGGCGACTTTTAACAACTGGTAATGAGTCGGCTTGCATGAAAAATCGTCACCTGTTAAAAATCATCGATATATCGCCATTGTGAGAATCATCTGGTGATTTTTCTGTTTTTTTAATAGTGGTCAATTAATTGCGATTAATTGTTGACTTTAAACCATTAAATGGTTTCTTGTTATTCACTGTTTTATTCTGCAGTAGACTAAGTATATAAGACACACGATTTCGAGAAATGTTCTTCTTTTCAGATTATCTTTTTAGTTTAGCTTAAAACGAAGTTGTCAAGAGTGTTCTCAGTAGTTTCCTCAGAGCTGACTCATTGTTTCAATTTGAGTGAGCTTTGAGAAGCTTAATTAACCGTTAAACTAAAAACTTGCCGATTAATTGCTATTGATCGGTCAAATTGCCGATTTTGACTACATGAGATGCCACTAAATTGAAAAATTTTAAAAGCTTCTTTGGTCAAAATCGATTGCATAATCATCTACCCCATAGTCGATTATCTTGTATGCAATAATGTTTGAATCGGGATACCCTCAGAAAAAAATTTTGACATCATTTTGCTTCTGGTCCCATGCATCGGCTTATTCGAAAATTTTTGAGAAAGACCATGGGCAGATATTTTTCTGAGGTATCCCGATCGAAAAGTTATCGCGTACCAGATAATCGACTATGGAGAAGATGATTTTGCAATCGGTATTGACTAAAAAAGCTATGTGCGTTTGTTACTCAGAGATTCTTAAAAAGGGTATCCCGGCATGGAAATACCCGTTTCTGGTTCTGTAAGATACGAAATTTTTTTAGCGAGTAATATAATGCAGTGTGATGTAGCGGGTCCCGACTGCAAACTAGTCCAACAGGCACAGCGATTCTTACTTTAATTCAACCGTTATTATTAAGTTGCGCGGCAGATTTTTCTCGTTTTTTCTGTAAATTTACTGAGATCTACAAAGACCAATCTAAAGCTTTCATTTTTTTTGTCTTCTTCACATAGTTTTCTAGAAGCACGCAGTTGAATTATATTATATTTATCGTTTTATCTACTATTTCTTGTAGATAAAACGATGATTAAACATACGCTATCGGATTCGCCTTGTCAAGCTTTATCAATTTCTACATGATAATCTTTTTTTTTCTCTCAAAAATTCCGTTTTCTAAAAGCGATAGCACTAAAGATTGGATAGTTCTTGAAAATCATTGTATCGGAGCTATACCATACTCTAAAGTGAAGGGAAAATATTATATTTATAGACAATCAACATAGGTCGATCAAATGCATGGCGCAGATTTTTTATTTGAAACTTTTTTTATTATACTTTTTTCTTAAACCGTACAAGTGAACTCATATACATGAGAATGAGCATTGATTAAAAATGTGAAAGTAAAGGGAACGTTTCAGTTCATCACACTCTCTTATACAAAGGATTCAAAAAGAAAGAAGAAAGTATCAAATTAAATTTATTGAAGTTGAAAAACTTTGCCATACTAGAATAGCAATATAAATTTTTCATTTTTCAATGTTAGCATTTATAAAGAATACTTTATTGTTAAACTGAAATAATTGATATGTACAATTTGTTTCATTTCTTTCACTTTGAATGAGCTCAACGATAATTATTTTATTTTTGAAAATGATCGTTTTATCATGCATATAAATATTTGTAATACGAGCAAATAACAGTATTGCTGCGTTCAAAACAAATTGCGTCATTTGTATTTAGATTAATAAAACTCGACTTTGGCAAATCTGAAGTCGAATCTAGAAAAAATATTCGAATCTATAGATCGAACCTGCGTCATTTTCACAGTCTCTAGAAACTAAAACATCGTCAGGAATTGAATTTGTATCTTATAAGCTCGTAAACATATTATTATCATATGTCATTACAGTACTGGATTCGATTACCAACATTTAATACAATATTGGTAAAAAAAACATTTTTTACGATCATAAGAAACAATAATATCATTGAAATCAAGAATAAAATCACCTTTTTCGTGTTGAATGAGACGCTTCGTCTTTATTCTAAAGACATCATCAGTCAACTAATGTACAAAAAGTAACTTCTAACATAGAAAAAGACAATAAAACACGTATAGAACAGCAAAATATTTGCCTCTTTCTCTCTCCTTCTAGATCATATGTAGTATGATTCATCTTAAAAAACATTCAACATAAAAGTCTTTTGAGAATATATAGTTCTTACTCCCTTTTTTGTATGAATGTTTATGAGCAGACTCTCTTTTATCTCTCTCTTTAATTTATGGGATTCTATGGCGAGTATTTCTGAATTCCAATTAGTTCTATGTTCACTCGACAATCTGTGAATGGCTATCCTTGAGAAACCTTGCCCATAAAATGCTTGCTGATGTTCTTCTTTTGTTCCCTTCTTTCCTCCTATTAGTCCTCTAGGATTCTGACGAAGCGTTCTTTAATAAAGAACGCCTCATCTTCTTCTTCAGAATGCTAGAGGACTATTGAGAACTATATATTGGAGTTTTCTCTTTTAGCGTATCTTTATCTTTTCTTGATGTCGCATGCAGATATCTGTATGTCAGACATAAGGACACATACAGAAAGGAAAGCATAATCTGCATGCGACATCAAGAAAAAGATAAAGATGCGCTAAATGATAGAGCTCTAATGTTTTTTAAGATGAATCATACTACATATGATCTGGAAGGAGAGAGAAAGAGGCAAATATTTTGCTGTTCTATACGTGTTTTATTGTCTTTTTATATGTTAGAAGTTACTTTTTGTACATTAGTTGACTGATGATATCTTTAGAATAATGACGAAACATCTCATTTTGAAATAGTTATTTCAGCATGAAAAAGGTGATTTTATTCTTGATTTCTATTATAAAATTTTTCACCTTAAACGAAGAATCAATAATATCATTAACTATAGATAAAACATTGATTAAAATACAAGATCACAACTACTTATAGCTACTGTAATATCGTTTATTGATTTCTTAGGTTCTTGTTTTGGTAATTTCGCAGTTTGACCGAAACACTTTTCGACAGCGTATTTTGACACTGTTGAATTTCGAGTGCAAGCTTTCGACACTGTCAAATTTCGAGCGAAAAATTTTTGACAGGCTGAAAATTCAACAGATTTTCGCTCGAAATTCGACACTATCGAAAGCCTGTCGAATTTCCATTGAAAAATTTCAAAAAGACATAAAAGAGTAATGACGTAAAAGCGCAGGGAGGGGGCATGAGAGTGAGTCACTAGACCGCATTCAATGTCCAAGCACTGAGCACTGAAGACTATTGATGGTTTTTTTCCTAGAGACCTAGTGAAATAGTGACGTAAAGGCGTAGAGATTGCCTACGCCTCTACGTGTTTACACTTTTGCTTCTCTAGTAGAGAAGTGAAGCGAAAAATCTGTCGAATTTCTAGTCTGTTTGCAATTTTTCGCACGAAATTCGACCGTGTCGAAAAGTAGAACTGTCGAACGGTGACTAAACCCTTGTTATCATATATTGAACTATTTCCAGTATCACAGACAGCAAATCCCTGTTTAAATACGAGTGGAATTTTGATGAGGTTGGACTCTATTTAAACTAGAAAATATCTAGGCTTAACAAATATCCACGAGAGTAAGTATTTAACAACAATGCAATTATTGGTGAACCGTTCTTAAATAAATACAACGCTTTGTTGTACAAGTAAAATTTTACTGATCAGACAACAAACATACTACTGCATTGGTAGATACACTATAACTACAGATAAATTGTATGAGATAAACAACTATATACCTTGAGTAAAACTGGTTTACTGATACAGTTAACTCTTGAAAGTGGAAATGATAATAAAAGTAAAAATAAGACATTTATGCGTCTGAAGAAGATAGGAGCAAAACAACATGAATTTTAGTACAGGTTGAATTGCTGCTGATTACGGATGATATTAAATGAAAACTACAGTAATTTATATTGTGCATCGGTACGGCTAAGTCAAATGAATGATCATTTTTTTCTCATGCTAATATTTTCTATTGCAAAAAATACAAAACGTCAAAATGATTCTACACTATGCTACATACAAAAATACTTTACAAATGTAACCATCTAAATCAATCAACGGTCCATCGTTGGGTGCTTCAATATCGTAGTTGAACATCAGTTCATGCCATTTACCTTCGGCAGGCCACTGCGTGACACGATAACCACGATGATAATCTCGTGAAAAATTAGCCACCACTACTACTCGTTCACCCTCATTTGTCCATCTTATATAAGCTAATACTTTTGAATCTTGATTTACATGAAAAAATTCAATATTATCACCCCGTATAGCTTGTGAACGTTTTCTAAGTTCGATGAGAGTACGATAAGTGTCAAATAACGAATGATTCAATTCATTTTGCAACAGAGACCATTCCAATTTATTGACGGTCTTTGATTTGTTTTCGGTACCTATAAACAGGAAAAAAAATATGTTAAAGTTTTAATACGGAACTTTATCGAGATACCTTGTGCTTTGTATTCTCCAAACTCGTCGCCCATAAATATCATCGGTATACCCATGGCTGTCAGTTGTAACGTCGCTGCCAATTTAATTCGTCGAAGTGCCTCGTCGCCAAACAAACCCATGTTACCCATAACTGTCATCAGTCTCTCATTGTCGTGTGATGCAAAATAAATGATTACTTGAGATGAATGTTCGTATCTTTCAGTCTCTTTGGGATTTAGCGCTTGTTTCAGTTTATCTACTTCAAAGTTGTTCATCTTAAATTGCTCTTCGATATGCGGGACAATATTTCGCCATACACAATCTAACGGACCATTGGGTTTGACGATTTCATACGTGGCGGGCATGTATTCTCCCACATTAAAAAACGGTTTCTTCGTTGACGATACAAGCTGTTTCGATTTCTCATCAAAATACCGTAATACATCGTGGCTTTCGATCTGTTTTACAGCATCAAATCTTTGAAAGAAAAAAGCTAAAAAGCTGAATAGCTGAATATTTTCTCTTCGTACTTACCTCCATCCATCAATGTGAAATTCACTCGTCCAATACTCAATAACGTCCCAAATGAAATTCCACGCTGGTTTCAATTTCAATCGTTCATCTTCGTATGCGTAATTAAACTCTGGTCCCCACAACTCATCTGGGTGATCGGGATGATGTGGGTCTTTGTAGAACCAATAGAATTTATCGATTTTTCTTAGTGGACACTCCACGTGACAATGATTAAATACGGCATCAATCATAACCCGCATTTTTCTCTTGTGACATTCGTCGATGAGATGTTTGAGATCCTCACTTTTGCCATACGTTGTTTGAACGGAAAAGAAGTGTCTCGTGGCATAACCCCAATCATGACCTTCACCACATTCCGATACGGGCATCAGTTCGATACAATTAACACCCAATTCAGAACATAAATAATCTAGTTTTGGGACTATGTCATTAAATGTGCCTAAATGACGAAAATTCACAGTTAATCTACCAATAATGATTAGATATCTTACCTCCTTCTGTAAAGTCAGCCACAAATATTTCATAAATGATCAAATCGTTATTTTGAGGCAATAGTTCATTATTTCCATCGTGTTGCCACTGATAACTGTCCACTTGTCTCTTTCCTTGAACTATCGTCACTAGTCCCACATTTTTCGTCGGATCGATGGCTGTTGCATAGGGATCAATAATATCAACTAAATCGTTTTTTTCATCATCAACAGGTTTTACTCGAAAGGTGTACTCATACTGTCCATCTTCTAGACCGATCTTTGTTCGAAAATACCCATCATCGTTCTCTGACTTTTGCATGGGTATTGGTTGCCATTGTGAGAATGTGCCTAGTAATGACACTTGGGTAACGTTTGGAGCAAATAATTTGAATTCAACAGATTGTTTTGTTGACATTATCTACAAATAAATACGTTAAAAAAATAACCTCTTCTTATTTATACATCATTTTAACTGATATTCAGAAACGTAAGGACAAAAAGAAAGAACAATTAAGAAATGAAAAGAAAAAAAACAAATAGGGATAAGCAATGACTCATTCAAGATCACGTTTTCAATCACACGTGCACATTGTATAGATCATGACTGTTGGTACAATTACGCAACGATCCATTTTACTTCTCTATACTCTAAAAACTACCAACGAACTAAAAGATCAAAGCATCAGTCGTTTATGATTCATACTATTTTTTCTTTTTCGATTTTTTTCTTCTTTTCTTTCAGATATATAATTACGGCTGATAGAAATGTGCATATACATTGTTATCGATGTTAACTTAACCTTACAACTGAAAATACATGAACTAACTTTAGAAGTTACGTGTACGAAAAGCGAAATATCGAATTTTTATAATTATTACATAAATAAGAATTAAATGTTAACAAAATTTTCCGACATGATGAATGTGTACTAGCTAGTACAACACAATCTAAATAAGAAAATAGTTTATAATTAAACTAAACAACAAAAAAAATTTGTGTTAATTGTAAAACGAGAACCAAATGTGAGAAAGATTGCGTTTAACGTGTTTCGATAGATTCATTCAAAAAGATGACTTTTTATAATCGTACATTGACTGAATATAGAAAAAGAAAAATATTTTTCCACACAATATGGTTTAATTTGTCATTTCACAATCGTCTGAACAATAATGCGTTCTAATGGCCTCCCTGCTTTGTTTAGCTTTACCTGATTATTTATTTTATCAAAAATTTTAAATTAAAATTCAAAGAATTCGTGTTTTAAACGGTTTCTTGGTTAAAAAAAGAATTTGATGCGTTTTAACATCAAATATATTTGTGACTTTGTTATATGACTTAAATAGAGAAGAGCAGTCAAATTTAAAAACGACTATTCTATTAAATTTTCAGAAACTAACTAAATGCCCCGAAAATGTGAAATTAAGTTATGTACGTTTAATTCATCCGCCTTATGTAGTCATTGTAACAAGAATCTTTGTACTCGACATTTAACTGAACATACTCATGTCATCAATAATGACCATCGTTCTTTAGTTGAGCAAGTAAATCAATTATTCAACAAAATAAATCGTTTAACACCTGCTCATCTAACTGCGAAACCATTTCAACAACTCGACGAGTGGCGTAATAACAGTCATCAACTAATCGATAGCTTTTATCAGGGACAACGACAAGAAATTGATGATATTATTCAGCAAAACTTTGCTAAAATTAAAAATGAACTAGCGAAAACTGTCAATGATTTGAAAAACAACGTAGAAGAACGAATTCGAGAAGGTGATCAACTTCAACACATTAAAGAAATAGTACAAAATGTAGAAAGAGATATTTTCGAATTGCAGACAAAACTTATTAACGTAGAGATAGAGCCATTAACTATTCACGCAGAGCCGATTCAAATACCGTCCATTATAAAGTCTAATACAACGATTGATTTGGTGGACTTGAAAACGCCAATAAAAGCCTTAATCTTTTCACCTGGTTTTTCTGTTGCATTAGCTGCCAACAATGATCACTTGTTAACATGTTACGATTCAAAGTTACATTTATATAAGGATGATTTAAAATTAATCCAAAAGATAGACTGGAAATTTGGTAAAATAATGGATATGTGTTATCATACGAAGCTCAACAGATTCATTATTTTAACTTCAAAAAATGTGTTTACTCTTAATATATCAAGAATGACATTGAATAGTATTGAAACGATCAAGATAGAAAACATGTTTTGTATCAGTTGTAATGATACAAGCCTTTTTGTATCTAGTCGTAATTATGGTACAACCATCAGCGAATATGGTATGTTACCAACATCATTTCATTTAACTAAACGGTGGGAACCATCTCAAACATGTTCAGCAGACGAATTCGTCAATAATATTCGCTGTAATACTGTCGATCAATTGGTTTTAACAATTTGGAATGATTTAAGAAAAGAATGGCGTCTTGATCTAAAAGATATTAGAACATTCAAAACAATATGGTCTTTGGATTTGAATATGCCATTGACACAATATCGATGTGGTTTGTGTATGCTACCAAACAACGATTGTCTTGTTGTAGGCAATGCTAGTTCCAGTCTATATCAAATATCATCACAAGGAAAACTAAGAACAATAATTTACTATAAACGAAAACCACTGAATGCCACTATGGTTGGTCGAAATTTGATTGCTATTATTACACACAACGGTCTTAATATGCATGACATGTAAGTGTTTTATGAAGATTTACTGAGCATGAGTGAGTAACGACAATTTATATACTGAGTCTTGTTGTATTAATATTGCCTGCAATGTTGTTCACACGGGCTTAACATAGATAGCATGAACAAATCGTTGAGGAAGGTTATAGTGCTAGTCAAAAGTATGTATCCCTCCTTCCATAAAAGAGAAATTTAGGCTTAAACCTATGAATGTCTCTCGCAGTAGACATTTTGGGACACTAAGCGATAAAATGGAAATATACATTTTTACTTTCTTTTATATAACAATAATGTTTTCAAATTTAAGACTATCTTTCCCCACAAACAGAAATTTTCAACTAACAGGTGTGCGATAGCAAACTGGACACTTTTGTTCTTTGTTTTTCAGACACTTTCCAGTAATCCAAAGAGTTGGTTGGATGGCTTCGATAGAGAATTGAATTCTCTACAAAACCTACTATTTGAATCTCTGAGAGAGCATTTTTCTGGTTTGAGCACCATTCAAAATATTGAAGGATGCTGCGTTGTCGAACTGCGACGTGCTTTTGTAGTCTCATTTTTTAAAATTTTTAGCCCATTGTCTGAGGTTCAATAGTTAATTTTTCTACGTACAAAGATAGAGAATTTTGCGCTCTATCGATCTCATTCATTTACAACTTCATGCAGTATTACCACATGTCAGCTGGTCTCATAATTAGTTCTCAACTGTCTTTTCAATATTTCGAAGTAAATTAATTTTTATAATTAATGATTTGAATTGAGAAACTTTGTTTATATATCAAAAGACGCCGAATATAACTCTATATAAGATAACAAGACTAAAACCCTGGATTCAGAACGTTTTGCTGCTTTTATAGCCAAAAAGAGAAGTCTGTGAAAAATAGATTCAAAAGTTAGATTTTTTTAGACTTATCAACTTTTTGCACAGAGAAATTTTCCCAGAAGATTTGACTACAAGATTTCAAAAAATATGTGAGAATATGCAGAATTTTTCGGTGAATCTTCTAATGTTTTCAAAATTCTCATGGAATCGATTTTTGGATCAAGGCAAATATTTTTCTATTTTAAGTGTGTCGCAGTTTGACAACTCAGCATCCTTCAATATTTTGAATGATGCTCAAACCAGAAAAATGCTCTCTCAGAGATTCAAATAGTAGGTTTTGTAGAGAATTCAATTCTCTGTCGAAGCCATCCAACCAACTCTTTGGATTACTGGAAAGTGTCTGAAAAACAAAGAACAAAAGTGTCCAGTTTATTATGGCACATCAATTAGAGCGATATGAAAACTTAGCGTAAAAGAAAGGCTAAAATGAATGATAAGGTTTGAACCCGTTTTGTGCTCTAAATGAAGTTCAAGATTGAAAATGATTTTAGGGTTAAAGCTTAATGTTTTTAGCACATTCCTGACAAAAAGAATGAACTTTCATGTTAATATCTATAGAGAAAAACAATTATCATCCTAACAATGTTCTGAAAACGATATGTTCAGTGTCATGAGTTTCCCAGTTTTTTTCCAGCTCCTAAACTGGTTCACACTTTAGTCACATACTCTTTCACGGCTGTTACATCTATGAAAAAGTGACCCAAGTCTTCCTGGACCAAACAATGATTTTTTCTAAAAATCATAGTCTTTCACAAAAAATTATTTTACCTCGCTCAAAAACATTTTTCGTCAAAAGAAACCACATATTCGAAATCAGGGTCAACAACTGTAGTGAATGATACAGTTTTCAAATATTCTTTGTGATATTTTTTCGCTATAGAAAGCTTTCATTTAAGGTCCTCCTTAGGCATTTTTCATCAAACGAGTCAAATTTACCGATAAAGTTTTCGCTTTCGATAATACTATTTCCAGGTATAACGGGTAAATCTAATTTAAAGACGATCATTTGTGATGATTAAGACTTGATGTCTGTCTAATTAAGATATCTAGGTTTTGAATTGATATGTATAACCCTGGGCAACCAAACTTACGGCAATTCTATAAGGATCTTATATAAGGCAGTCGATGGAAATGGGTACGATATTGATAAGATTCCTATACGAAGGAATCACGGGTGGCCCAGAATATAAATGTCTCATCCAGTATTTCTTCAATATCTCGGTTACGGTTGATCATCAAGTCTCAATCTTCTTTTTAAAAGAAGCCTTATTCAATTCTCTACACAAAACATATTGAACATTTCTTTATATACTATAAGAATAAAAAAATATAGAGGAAATATGAAAAAGCTTGAATATCGATTATTTTCAAACCCAAAGTGCAATCAAAAGATATTTATTTTGAACACAGTGCTATATGCATCAAAGTGGAATCGAAATGTATATTCTGATGCTTCAGAATGTCAGCTTTCTTTCCTTGTATCATAAGTTCGTTACAAACCTTTTTTTCTGCCACGAACAAAGATTTTATCAAAAGTAAAAAGAAAAGGAAAACTTTGATTTCTTTGCCTTGGCACTGGAAACAAAACGGGGCTATGCAACTTTCTCTGTTCGAATGTAACAGAAGAATTATTTTGCTTTAAGATAAACCAGACACAGAGTCATAATATGTGGTTTTGACCAAATCACACAAATTTTCCTAAGTGTCTCAAAACTGGAGTTAGAAAATGATGATTTTGGGCAAAATCACTAAAAGAAAAAAAATTGTCGTGCGTCCACTAGAAAGTCTTAAATAGAGCCGGTTGATAGAGCTTTTCGATAACTACAATATGGCCATTTTCTCCGTTTTTTTATACCGAAAAATATAAGGAACTGAAATTGAAAAACTTGTTTTTTGCTTTGAAAGTAATCGATATTGAAGCTTTCCATATTACCTCTATAATTTTTTATTATTATATATTTATTTTATTATTATAGAGAAATGTTTAATATGTTTGTGTAGAGAATTGAAAGAGGCGTTTTTTTAAGAAAAAGATTGAGACTTGGCGATCAACCTTGACCAAGATATTGAGGAAATACTGAATGAGACATTTATTCTGGGCCACCCTTTATAAAAATCTTATAAGATTCCGATAAGAATTCAGCAAGACAGATTATACAATTAGTTTAAAAGAATTGATAAGATAAGTTAACATACGAATTTAGATTTACGTCAATTAAAGCGTCTGACTGTATGCAAACTGAATGAGTAATCTTGCATTGTATGGTATCCGACGAAACTCAGGAAATCGTTTTAGGATCCTGCGTAATCTTATCGTAGGAATTCATGTGATTTCTATTATGATAGTGTGATATCCTATATTAGCTCACACTAGAAAACCTGTCAAATGCTGTGAACTTCTATATAGGATTACCTAGGATTTTGTCTTGCATTTTACTAGTAACAACTCACTAAATGTGTTTCCAAGAATACATTCTCCGTTTCGATCAATTAAGAAACTCGTTTCGTTGTTCACTGACTATTGAATGATGAGTCATGTACGTAACTGTCCCAAGTAAAAAATCTTGACTGCAGATCTTGATAAAAACTTGAAAGATTTCGGAAGTTTCTGTTCAGTTCTTTCAAGATCTTATGCAGATTTATCGATATCTGTCAAGATTCTGAGATCATCTTGC